CATTTTGTATTATGTACCACTGTATAATATATTAATATCTATATATTCAATAAGTATAATATTTATAATGTATCAAATATAGAATATATATAAAATATTAAAAGACTTTAAAATCTTTTTGGGGTCTGAGGATATAATTCCATAGCAGAACATGGGCTTAGCATGTAGAAGAGTTTCATTCTCCAGTGCTGGAAATTATTTAAAAACCAAAAATAAGGAATTTTATGAGTCTTTAATCCCTAGACTCAATTTTGAAGGTAATTATCAACAAAATAAAAGCTTCTAAATCAATAATAACCAATACTCTGTGATAGTATGGGCTTGGAGGCAATGTGTGAACTGGGTAATTATAGCCTGAAGCTTACTAGTCTAGGTAGAAAATCTGTATACTTAGATTGCTTTGAAAGGACTTGTCCATGTCTAGAAATGTCTTATATTTGTGAACAGAGTGTTGAAAAAAGTGAATTTTCCCTTAAAATTCTAAGTTGTTTTCTCAGAATGAGGCTTTTTATTTATTTTTTCTTCTTCATTTTTTTTTTTTTTTTGGTTTTTTATGAGACAGGGTTTCTCTGTATTGTTTTGGAGGCTATCGGTCCATCCCGGCCTCGAACTCACAGAGATCCGCGTGCCTCTGCCTCCCGAGTGCTAGGATTAAAGGCGTGCGCCACCACCGCCCAGCTTCTTCTTCATTTTTTAAATTTAAGTTATAAACAAGCTTGTTTCACATGTCAATCCCAGCTCCCTCTCTCTCCCCTCCTCCTCTGCCCTCCCCACCAGGTCTCCCAGCTCCCCCACCCAATCTCCACTCCGAGGGTGAGGCCCTCCATGGTGGATCTCCAGAGTCTGTCATTTCATCCAGGACAGGGCCTAGGCCCTCCCACAAGAATCCAGGCTGAGAGAGCATCCCTCATTGTGGGATGGGCACTCAAAGTCTTTTTGTATGCCAGAGATAAATGATACCAAGGCCCCATAGATTACCTATGCTTCCTCACTGCCACCCACATTCAGGGGGTCTGGATCACTCACACGCTTTCCACACAGCCATCAGTCTGGGGTCCAAGAGCTCCCCTAGTTCAGGTTAACTGATTCTGTGGGTTAAGCCAGCCCAATCTTAACCCCTTTGCTCATCAGTTCTCTCTTTCTGACACTGAATTCCAGGAGATCAGTTCAGTGTTTAGCTGTGGGTGTCTGAGAATGAGGATTTTTAGATGTAGTATTTGTTCTGGAAAAACAAGGACAGCAAAACTGTTTAGTCTTTGGAGAGTTGGTCACCAAGTACTGTTGAATCCCACTGTTCTGGGGCGCCCTTCAAATGTTCAGGAGCTAAGGAAAGGGAAGAAAAGGGAGGACTCGAAGCTTAAGCAACATCAATGGTGTAGGACAGTGAGAGTCCTTTCTTTTGTTCTTGAGAGTGAGGAACCACAATGGGCTTTGCTCAGGACATTCTGCTTAGTTCTCATTGCTACAGCTCTTCGTTTTATTCAATGCATAGTCCCGTACAACTGACACTTTTCACTAAAGTATGCAGTTCACAGATTTCATCAAGTCCACAGTTAGCTAACTATTTCTGGTATCTAATTGCAGAACATTATAATTCACATCCAAAGAAGCCCCATGCCCCTTAACAAGTACTTCCCATGTCCCTTACACTAATCTCTGAAGAGCTGAGTATTCAAACTCCTTTAACTTAGCATGAGTCTTCAAGGCCCATTTGAATGAATATATACTTCATTCCATGTTGCTGAATAGTACCCCAGTGTATGGTTACATCATACTCTGTGTATGATGAGCTGACAGAGACTTGAACTTTTAGGTCCTTCTGTTAATGATCACCCCCAGCCCCTTGCTCAACAGGGAACTAAATGTCGGGCTTCATATGTGCTAGGAAACTCTCTGCCACTGTTTTAAACCATTGACCAAAAGTGGCTTAGTGGAAGAAGGGGTTTATTTCAACTTACCGTCCAGGTCCATCACCGAGTGAAGTCAGGGCAGGGAGGCAAGGCAGGAACTTGGAGCAGAAACCATGGAGGAACAATGCTTATTAGCTTATGCTTATGCTTAGCTTGCTTTCTTGCATAGTCCAGGCTCACAGTGACCAGTCAATCTCTCACAGACGTGACCACTGACCAGTCTGATGAAAGCAATTCTTCAGTTGAGGTTCCCTCTGCCCAGGTGACTTCAGGCTGTATCAAGTAGACAATAAAAACTAACCAGTACACCAGCCCTCTTTCTACTTTGAGCTTAGAGCTCCCTAATTTTCCCATGCTGGTCTTAAACTCCCTCTTAATAAACCTCACAGATCTTAAACTTGGAATCCTCCTGGCCTAGCTGTTCTAGAGTAGCTAAGGTTATAGGCTTAATTCACCAGAACTGGCTAAAATTTTAAGAATTAATTGTATTTTATTGCGTATGTGTACGCACCTGTGGAAGCCAGAGGACAAACTCAGGCATTGTTCTTTTGGTGCTAGCCCCTTTCTTTTGTATTTTTCCATTTTTCATTATTATCATTATCACTATTATTATTATTTCTGTCCCCAAATTCTCCGAGTAGTCTAGTCTAGCTGGTTAGGGACCCTCAGGGATCTGCCTGTCTCTATCTTCCTGTCCCTGGGATTACAAGTGTGTTACCATGCTTAGCATTTTAATGTGAGTTCTGGGGACACAACTCAAGTACAAGGCAAGCACTTCATCAACTGAATTATTCAATACCCAGCCCTAGGGTGTGTTAAAGGCTTAGATTTATAGATGCACCCACATTTCACCATACAGTGTTATAAACCAACATTGATACAGCTCTGATTGTTTGGAATCCTTACCTCATCTTTATTCTTTTTCTATTGAATCCCATCCAGGATAGAATATGGCACTCAACCGTCTCTTTGGATTCCTGGAGACGGTGCCTTATCTCTCCCTTGTTTTTATGCCCTTGACTCTTCAATTGGGACTGTTCCTCTGTAGCTAGGATTCGGGGAAGATCAGAGTGCCACTTTCATCACATCAAGCAGCCACACATCAACAAGGTGCATGGTAGTTGATGGTGGTTTTCCTCCCCTGGCTGGGGTTTGAGTAGATTTCTCCACAAGAAAGGCTACTCTTTCCCTCTTTCTACTGTCCTTTTTTGGGAGAAATATCACACCTGGGCAGCCCACACAGAAAATAGTTGGGAATTAGACTCCATCTTGAATAGCTACATAAGTTATCTGAAATTCTGAAAGAGAGGTTTCATTTTTCTAGCAATGTGGACACACAAATACATTAGAGTTATAACCCAGCTACTGTGTTGGTTGCACAGATTGCCCCAGCTTTGGCCATAGGGAGCTCTTTAGTTGGCTCCTGTGTTACCTTTGAGATCCACCCACAATGTGGGGGTTCTGTTTTGGCTTTGAGCATATCCTTACATCCTTTCATTTGTAAATCACCCAATCCCCATAGAAGATGACTTTAAGAAAACCAACAGTACTCTTTCTCTCAGGTAATCAGGGCAGCACACCACATGCCTCCCACAGGAGTTGAGGGCAGCATCTGGGGATATCAGATTGAATGAGACACCTGCCTGGCCCTCCTGCGGTTTAGGATCACACAAATAGTCCTTGGTCAATTTTGGATTCAAAAGCTAATCTGTCCAGCTCAGATCTTTTTGTTTGTCCTACCACAAGCCTCACAAAATAGAAAGCCTTGTTGGGCAAAAACCTCCACAGAGCATAAAGCTTAACTCCAAGGCTTTCAAGGGAACTGTTCTACAAAAGGAGAAACATCACTTCATATTGTGTTTTATTAGATTCCAACTCTGGAATTCCCCAATATGTTCCATGGTGGTGGGTTTTGCCTTCAGTCTCTATGTAACAAACACATGCCACCACATTGCTACTTTAGTTGCTGGGTTAAGTACATGAAATCAACCTAAAAACTTAGGTACTCCCTCCAAAGCCTTCAAGTGAGTCCTGTGCCCTGCCCTGCAGTGTGGATGTTTCTCGATGGACCAAGGTGTATCTAGTAGCGGGGACACAGCGCTTCCCCAGTTTAGTTTCAAACTTCATTATTGTGACAGTAAAGGTGCTTCGTGTTTCTGAATGGATGTTGGGGGTGGTGGGTAGGGGTAAGGACAGGCAGGCACACCCATACACTGGGGGAATTCCTTTATTTATAGAACTACTTTGGGGCAGCAGTACTTTTTATGATGAAACCAACGTAGTTGGTCAAGACTAATAAGAAAAAGAAAGCATCAGTCATCACTGGGGTGTAAGGATGTTGCTTTCTGAAACCTCTTCTAGGCATACCTGTCTGTGGAAGATAATATCCACCTTTGTTTCTCTGGCTAAATATTAAAAGAAGTTGGAGAATCAGGACTGTAGAGACTAAGGAAATACTTTTATTGATCTTTTAAAATTCACACTGAATTTCCACAGCTCAATGCTAGGGTGTTTTAATCATTAGAGAAGTCGAGGTAGGGAGAACATTTGGTGATGCTTTCGTGAACAGGGCATAGCATTAAGTCAGTGAGCCATTCTGTTTGAGATGCATTCCTTTGCCCTCTGCTGCGCCAAAGGTCTGAGTGTCCGTGTAGTCACAGGTCTTTGGGTTTCATGTTTCCCTCCCCGAATTTTACTTGTGCTGTTCTAGAGCAAAACTAACCAAGCCCAGACAATGCCAGAGCACTTTGGCTGGTTAAACCAAGACCAGAGCATCTTCCTTGATAGTGGGTGGGCCGAGGTAGAAAAGCGGACCGAGGACCTTCATCATTGGACTGCGTCAGTCGGAAGTGGCTTCACTCTGAGGAACGGGAAGAAGGATAAATAGCGGGAAGTCCATTGCTTATGTCTCAGACACTTAGAACACTAAGTGCACCTTGCTACGTGGTGTTGGGAGAAGAAACAGGAGGAACAAGGAAGCCTGACCCAGAAACGCTCCAGCTTCCTGGCAGACTCATCCCAGCTAACCCACCCACCCCAAACCAGGTGAGCTGCCACCACGTCCACCCCTTCCTCGCCCTCCCAGTCTCCATGAGCTTGGCAAAAGTCGGGCACCTTCTCTCCACTCCGCAGCTCAGTCCCCTAAGCACCGACCGGGATGAGGTTGAAATCGACGTGCTGGCAGAAGGGGAGGATGGAGACCAGACCGAGGACGACGAGGAGAAGGGGAAGATGAACCTGGAGCCGGGGCCGGGAGCCCTTCCCCGGAGGAGCTCAGGGGACTGCGGCGGCGGTCTGAGTAACTCCTCCGGGTTCGTCCGCAAGTTCCGAGCGCCGCGGACAGCCGCGACTCCGGCCGCCGACGGCCCGCAGCCCGCTAAGCCCCCGTACTCCTACATCGCGCTCATCACTATGGCCATCCTGCAGAGCCCGCACAAGCGCCTGACGCTCAGCGGCATCTGCGCCTTCATCAGCGGCCGCTTCCCCTATTACCGCCGCAAGTTCCCCGCCTGGCAGAACAGCATCCGCCACAACCTGTCGCTCAACGACTGCTTCGTCAAGATCCCCCGCGAGCCGGGCCACCCGGGCAAGGGCAACTACTGGAGCCTGGACCCCGCCTCCCAGGACATGTTCGACAATGGCAGCTTCCTCAGGCGCAGGAAGCGCTTCAAGCGCCACCACCCGCCCCCGGGAGGCCACCCGCAGTGTCCCTTCCCTCCGCCCGCTGTGCCTGCCACCCTGCACGTCTCCCACCCCAGCCTCCTACTCCGCTACTCTGCCCCACCGCAGCTTGGCCTCGGTGTCCACCCCGCCGCCCCTCCCGGGAGCCGCCCGAGCGTGCCGCTGCATCCGCATCCCCTCCGCTACCTGCTGCTTGCCGCCCCCGCCTACGCCGAAGCGCCTGGAAAAGCCGAAGATGCTGACCCAGCCCCGTCCCGCGCCATCCCTGCGCTGCAACCTGCACTGGATTTCCAGCCTTGGGACCGGGACGAGGGTTCGAGATCTTCTCCCGGTCGCGGCTGTACCTCGTTCACCATCGAGAGTATCATGCAGGGGGTCAGAGGAGGAGGAACTGGGGCTGCGCAGAGTCCGCCCTCCGCTCCGTGGAGCTACTGCCACCTGCTGCAGCACCCGTCGTGCCTGCTGCACCCTCAGGTCGTCCCCCCACTGCTGCAAGTGTCCCCCGCCGCCCGGACAGTGTTGCAGCAGCAGCCTCAGCAGGAGCAGCAGCTCTGTGCCCGGAGCGCGGCTCCGGGTAAAGGCGCGCGGCTGGGCCGGCACCTGACGGCCTTTGCGGCGTTGCTGAGGCATCAGCCTGCCTTTGAGGACTGCAGGCTGACAACTCTGGCTGCTCTTTCGGGCACAGAGGGGACCTTGCCTGCATTTTAAACAGCATCCTCGTCCAGCCTCCTCGTCCATGACACACCTGGGAGCCAAGTGGCGGGGTGGAACCACTCCCTGTCTAGGTTTGCACCACCCGCCTGCTAGGCTTGTGCGTAGAAAACCAGCAGCGGAGCATGCATTAAGTCGCGCCAAACTGTCACTCCTGTGTTCTGTCCCCTTGATGACCGAAAGCAGGGAAATCTAGGGGCTTGGTGACCGAAAGCAGGGAAATCTAGGGGCTTGAAGTCTCGCCTTTTCTTGTATGCTTCAGTTGTGACTTCCACAGCTTTTTCCGATTTGCATACTTCCCAGGAACCTACGAATGATGAACGTGAGCAAGATGTTTAGTTGTTAATAAACAGAAGAGCTGGCAACACAAAAACATCCCCAACTTCATTCCCTAAAGACTGCAAGTGTTCCCCAGTCAAATGCAGAATGCGTACATGCTCTGATTCCTGAAATCCGTATGCAATATGAATAGAATAATTCCGTAACATTTATTTCTTGTATTTGTGATGTTCCCTACTCCAGTGGGGAGTGTTGAAATTAAGCCTAGAGGTATAAATTGAATAAAATACTAAGTCTGGATGCTACACCGCTTGTTTCCTATTATGTCTCTTTATTCACTTTCACAATTGGAATCTCTTTTGGAATTTACATTCTTATTTCACAGCTTGTTTTTATGCTTTATGTCCATTATAGATAACAGGAATTTTAAACATGGACTTTAAAAATTCCGAATATTTGTGGACAAAAGTTCATCTTATAAAATAGTTTTAGTACTTACGGAACTTCTAGAAGGAAAAGAATTGGAAGAATTAATACAACCTCTATTCTCTCTCACCCATCACCTTCTCTCCTTCCTTCTTTCTCCCTCTCTCCCTCTCTCTTTCTTTCTTTCATTCGTTTTTTTTGAAAGGGAGGTTTCCGCGGTGTAGCTCTTCGTGACCTGGAATCAGTTATCTTCCTATTCCAGCCCCCAGAATTCTTAGAATGCCCCATTATGCCGACTTTATTCGCTATTTTTCTAAAGTTGATTTTTTTCCCCCTGAGGTAAACAGGAGGATGACTGGAGATCGATTTGAAACAAAGCGCATCTACTCTTGGAAAATAAACGGCTATTAGGTATATTAAAATACTAATATTTTAATGACATTTTCCTTTAAAAATTTCTGAGAGGTCTTTGTAACAGTGATTCAGCTTCAGGGTGCAAGCAAAACAAGAGACTGTCAATCACCTACGACTGCGAGAAAAGGCGGGATTTTGGAGGTTGGGTCAATGGTAAGCGGGTTCTGTCATTTGTGGCTCTGGGGGAAAGCCACCCTGAGTAGCCGAAAGCGTCTGTGCTCCCCACCCTTTGCAGCGAAGTCCACATTTCACTGCTTACTCTTCATAGCTCAGCTCTCCTACAGCTCTCCCCACCGGCTACCCCCACCCTTTCCGAGTTAGTGCTTTGTGGGACCTTCTGGAAAGTTCCTAAACTCAGACCTTAGGAACTTTGAGCATTCAAACAGGCAGCTCTCCTCCACTTTGTCGATGGCCCCTCGGTTCTCGCAGTACCACCTCTTCGGTGGCCAGCGGCAGTTTGAGAATTTAGAGGAGAAACAAACAAACAAACAAACAAAACAAAACAAAACACCAAAAAAACAAAGCGAAGGGTCCCCTTTCCCACTTCTCCGCCGTTCCGCTTTGCTCTTCGCGCTAAGACGTCCGGAGCCAGGCCACCTTCAGCTTTTCAATTAACACTGCTCACCCCCGGCCTCCAGACAACCCTGGATAGGAATGATTCCTGGCTGGGCTCCAGTGCACAGAATTCCCATTACTACGGCGCCTAAACCCGGCCCAGCACGAGGATGAGCGGCCAGAACGTGGCCCAGGTCCGCCCCTAACTAGTAATGTTTCTCTCTTGAAACCAAGACTTCCCAAGACAGTTGCCGGTCGGCGGGTAAAATGAAGGTCGGTCCAGGAGTCCATTGGGCCAGAGCGCCCTGAGGACTGGGACAGCTCGGACCTCCTCCTCCGGGTGCGATCTGCGCCATGCGCTCCCAGTTGGCAGGGCGGGGGACGGGGTGGGGGTACGTGCTGCAGTGGCAGCACCTGAGGAACCCGCAGGAACCCCGCGCACCAGCAGCGACCGCGGCAGGCTGGCCGTCCCCACGGTGCCAAGTTCTTGGAGTACTCAGGGCGCCTGGCTCAGCCTGGTCACCTGCATCGCCTCCTGCAGGGCCATGCGGAGCCCCAAAGCCCGCGGTTCTAGATTACACTTCGTGCAGGTGGGCGCCTCGGGCTGGGCTTTAAAAAACACATGGTTTCTGAGACCTTGGGGGTTGGAGGGTCTCGTTGGGTACATACTGACTGCACAGAACAGAAGCGAGTGCGTGACATTCCCACCAGCAGCAGCGAGCTAGAGGGAACCTTCACAGCCTCTGCCTTCTAGGAATGAATGCCATGCACTATTAGCTGCTCTGGTGCTGCTACTCCTGGTGCACCAGGCACTGACCGCGCCCGGCTGCACCTCGAACATTCACTAAGGAACACTCGCGGTAGAACCCCATGGTTTGCAGAGGGGAACTTTAAACTAGGAGAAATTGTCTCCTAAGGACCCTCGGGTGGCAGCGTCAGGACCCATGTGGTTTCTACCCCACGAACGGAAGAATTCAAGGAGCTCCTCCTGCCTCCTAGATTTTGTTCCGGTTCCTCCTGGTGGTCCCTAAGAACCTGGAGCCCTGGAGTAGCAGAGGCTTCCCCAACACCCAACCTGCAAGCCCGGAGCCAGTTTGAGACCAGGGATCAGCGGGCCAGCGGGTGAGAAGGTACTGTTTCTCAAGTGCCTGGATCTTCACCCCAAATGAACTACCTCGATATCTACTGGACAGAGAGTTTAGGATCCTGAAACCGCTTTCATCTCTAGACTGCTTAAGTCAACCACGAATACTCCTTTGGCTTAGATTCTGTGACAGATGATAGGCAGTCTATGGCCGCATCAGAAACGAGGGGGAAACACTGGCCTCAACAGCTTTAAGGCGGGCAGCGAGAAGAAGCTAATGGTGTCTTCTAAAGTGGGACCTATGGGACTGTTCAGCATTTACAGAGAATGTTCAGGAAAACTTGCCGACATCAACACAGATGGCAGTCTACACGGAAATGTTGCTTGGATTCCCCTACCTCCTCCCCGCCCCCACCCCCACGAGCCCTGAGATTATTTCAATGCCTTTTAAACTCTGACTTCTTACTTACAGGGCACTAACAGAAAAGAATTAGCGCAGGTGACTGCTAATCTTAGCAAAATTGACTTTCCACAAAAGACAAACTTACAGGAAGGAAAAGAGCAAGCATTTGAGACCACAGTGTGAAATTCACCGTAGTTCCCTCTGCTCAAGTCCCTTAACAAGCTGAAGGTGTCTGGACATAAACCCAGCCCAGCTCCTTTTCCATAGGGTGCAGGCATGTTTCTACTGTAGGCAGTAACTAAGAATGTTTTAGGAAGGTTATGACTTCCTTACAGTGAAGCAGTTTCTCTTCCCCAGCCAGGCAAAGGAACAATGAGATTAAATGAAGTCTAAGAGGTTTGCATTTTTTTCCGTGCATAGCTGTGGGCCATACTTATGACCCACAGGTTATAAATTAGGGTGACTATTATTGCTATCTTTTTTTCCTCTCTATTCTTTCTATTCCTTTTTCTTTAATTCTGTTTTCTTTTCTTTTTTTTTTTTTTTTTTTTTTTTTTTTGGAGACACGGTCTATGTAGTTCTGGCTACAGATATGTAGGCCAGGCTGGCCTGGAACTCACAGAAATCCCACTGCCTCTGACTCCTGAGTGCTGGGATTAAGGGTGTGTGCCACCACACCCAGCAGTGTGCCATTTTTCAAATGCTAATTTATTCCATTTAAAAATGGAAACTTTCGTAGAGAGAATATGGTAGCTTTCCTCTGTGGTAATTATTTGTAACATATTCTGTTGTAACTAACCCATTTCATCTTTACCATCTTACTGTTCTCTCCAGATTGTTTTGTGTCAAATCCAAGATCCTATCATTTCATCCATAAATATTTTTGAACGTTTCCGAAGACAAGAATTTCATCAACGTAACCTTATTACTATTGTTATACCAAAATCATTCACTGACCATCATTTTACCTAGGTAATATCAAATATCCTCAATTGTCTCAAAAGAAAGTTTTAAAAAGTTTGTTAGTTTGAGAAGAGCACGGTGGTACAGACATTAAGGAGGCAGAAGGGGGAAGAACTCTGTGAGTTCCAGGCCAGCCAATGCCACAGTAGTGACACCCTGCATCACAAAACGAAAACAGAGACAAAAACAAAGTACAAAACAAAAAAAGCTTGTTAGTTTGAACAGTGGTGATCAGGTGCTCACAATCGGTTGACAAGTCTCTAAGCTTTCTTAGGACAGGTTGCCCTGTCCTCGTTCATTGCCCCCAGGGCCTCAGAGGCAGCTGGAGAAAGTAAGGGAGACATTCAGCATTCCAGATTTTTTGGCCCACAAATGATATTCTCATAGCAAAATATACCCAGTGATAATGCTGTTCCTATAGACTTAACAACAATACCAGCAAACAAAATAAAACAAACAAACCCAGCATCTCACTGTATTCTCCTGACTGACCAGGAACTCTGTAGATCCAGCTGGGCCTGAAATCACAGGAATGTGCCTGAGTCTGCCCTCTGAGGGCTGGCAGTGGAAAGATGCATCAACATTCCTTGGCCTCTTCTGCAGACTTTTGGGTATTCCCAAGAATGGGTCTTGAAAAGCTTATGCTAATTCTTCTTAAATGTTTCTTATACTTTTAAAGATTGATTGTCATTTTGGGTGTATTTACAGACACATAAAATTACTCCTTAGACACATCATTTACAATTTAAATCTAGTTTTATTTGTGAGAATACAGACCTTTATTTCTTTAAATTTTTATGTTTTAGCATTTTATGTTTTGATGGGAAATGGTCTTCTGTATATGCTTATCTTATTGGCTGATGAACAAAACAC